GCGGTGGGACTATGGGGTTGCCTGGGGCCGCGCGGGCTCTTGGACACTCGGCATTGCCGCCAAAATCGAGGGCCGCTCAGCTGTGCTGGCTTGGGTGGCTGAGCAGACATGAAGTGGGAAACTTAATGTCATGGTGAAGTAATTTTGAACAACGATGACGCAAGATCAACTCCAGCAACGCATGCCTTGGTGTCGCCTACCGCCGCAACTGGCGCCGCTGCGTTGCCCTGCCGCTGCCCGCGGCATCAAATTCAAGCAGTTGTCGCGGGGCTGCGGCGGGGCAAGCGAGTGCGCGCTCGCTCCTGCACGCACGACCACAGGGATTGCCGCCGCGGAGCGCCGGTGCAGAAGCTCGGACCGCGCTGCGCTGCGGTCTCTCACCGGCGAGCGCGGGGGCGCCTGCACTTCGCACTCTGGCCCGGCATATCGTCACCAAACGCGCCCCGCGCCGCTCGCCGGGCTGCAAGCCCCAATTTTCGCCCCTTTGAGCGGCGCGCGCTGCTTCCACGCGCCCCAGCCCGCAAGGGCACGGCCGCCGGCTCGTATTCGAGCGCCGCGGCTCCAACGCTCGGCGGACCCGGCCCCTCCGAACGCGCCGGCCACCGCCGCATTGCACCGTGCCGGGCGGCGTGGCCGGGGCTACTAGCGTAGTACGACCCTCATTGACTGCACACGACCCTCTCGGCACCGATTATGGCTTGGCACCTGGCAGCAGCACTTGCGCACCCCCAACGCTCAGATCCCTCAGCCGATGGCGCCCCTTACCAAATCAGGCTCTGAAGGGGTTGCATAAACCCCTCCTATATCCGTCCCGCCACTCTACTTTTCTGCGGACCCAAAGCAATACTGCAGAAGCCCTGTTTGGTCAAGACCCCAGCAACCCCCGCCACGCCCAGCGCTCCCATGCGCCCGCCGCCGCCGCACGTCCGATCCCAGGCGCGCCCGCGCCGCGCCCGCCCCGTCGCGCGCGCCCGCCTCTGCCGCGCCCCATCTGTCGCCGCAGTCCTTCGCGGCAGACGCCCAGATTTTCCCGCGCCTTTGCGCCCGTGATTGGGGCACACCGTCCGCCGCCCCGCGTCAGCGCGCGCCCCGCGACCTCTCAACGCCACCGCCTCACCTCACCTGCGTTTCTTCGGCCCTTGGGGCGCCGCTGGCACTCGCCGCTAAGCACCGGCTCCGCGCACAGCGCGGCAGGCGGCGGGGGGCAACTGCCTTGAAGCTCGCCCAACCCCGCCCAGCGAGCAGCTTCCAATTGGCACCATAGAGCCGTCCGGCCGCTTGCACGTGCGACACCGCGCGCTCGCCCGAAATTGGTCAGCGGCCCATGCGGGCCATGCGGCGGCTGGGGGCGCTCGCTCGCTTCGCCTTTGCCGCCGCACGACTGCTCTCGCTTACATGGGCCCGGCTTGCACCTGGCGCAAGGCCGGGGCGCAGGGGTACCAGCAACCGCAGCCGCAGCAGCAGGCCGGCAGCAGCGCGGCACCAGCACGCGGGGGCGCATCCCGCGAGCGCCCCCGCACCTCTATCTCCCACCCGCGCAGGCCGCCTGCGCGGTCGCCGCACGCCCGCACGCCCGCCCGCCCGCCCGCCTGCCCGCACGCCCACATGCCAGCGCGCCCCGCCGGGCGGACGCGTGAGCTTGCGGCGCCCGGCTGCGGCGGCAGGCGCAAGGGCAGCCCGCCAGAAACTCGGGCCTGCCTGATTGCGGCGCAGCGGCCACGCACAGCCATAAACTGCACGCACAAACCACTCAACGTCACCTGACCTGCCTTTTTGGAATGCGGCCCTAGGGTGCGCCCACGCACGCCGCTCGCCCTATTGCGCTTGCAAGGTCTTGAGATGCTCAAGGGGACAACACGACCCGCAAATTGCTGCACAAAGGCGCGGCTGCGCGGTCTACCCGCAGCAGCCCGGGCCCGGCGGTTACGCAGCAGCGCCGGCGGCGGTCCCCGCCGCGCGGCCGTCGGCCCTCACATACAACAAAACCACGCATTGACTCATGACTTCGCTATTTAAGACTTTGGAGGCCGGCGGCCGCAGGTGACCGTCGTAACAAGCGCCCTGCGCGGCCGCGCCCCAGGCGGCAGCCTTTGCGAGGGCATATCTTTGGCTCTGCACGGCAGGTCAGGTGTGGGCCAGGCTTCCTTGCGGTGCGCCTCGTGGCTGCCCGTTTGCCGGCCCGATACAAAACGGATGAACGCCGCTCGACGCGCGCGGCGCGTGCGTGCCTGCGCTGAAAGTGCGGTGCGCGCATGTCGCTGCCATCCCGCAAGCTCAGTGGGTGGGGCACCTGAGTAACAAGGTTGGCTATCGGTGGAACGCGGCTGCCGCCCAAGGGTTCCTTTGGTGGCCGAGCGAATCCTGTGCCAGTGCAGCAGGGGGTTGCCAGACAGCGACCGGCCAGGCGTGTGACAGAGTGCTGCTGCGCTTGCTGGTGGGGCCCAGGTGCCGTTGCTGTGCACGTCATGTTGCACCCTTCTTGCTTGCCAATATCCTGCCACCCTTCCTGTCACTTAGAGCCATTATCAACTCACGCTTGCTATTCAGGGCCAATTTTGAGGCTTCCGAGTAGATGCTGTTTGCTTGCTCGAGCACCATCAGGTTGCTGTCTGCTGCGACGGGATCAACACGGGATCTTGCCTTGGCTCACCCCTTGTGCCTGCCGCCCCGTGCTGCCCTTGCTTTGCAGCGAGCCCACACCCCTGCTTGACAACCGACACACCCCGCAGCCCACAGAGCGACAGAGCTGCGCTGAGCGAGTGGCCTGCTGACGGACTGGTTCACAATGGGCCATATAATCCGCATTTACAGCCTCCTCAGGGTGCACTCACAGTGAGAACTTGGAGCCGAAAGTCGCGGCAGCGCGCGCCGCACCCATCCGGCGCCACGAGGCCAGCGCCCCCACACACCTCGCCAAGCCATCAATGCGGAAGGAGGGGCGGTGGGGCGCGCGCAAGGCCCGCGTGCGCGCGAGGCGCGGCGCAGGGGGCGGCGGGGGGCCGCCCCGCTTCTCAGCCGCTGCGGACAGCAATGTGAAGCGCTCAACCTGCCGCGGCCGCCAGGCAGCCCAACGGCCGCACCGGGCACGCCACAGCAACTGCCAGCGCGGCCGCCGCCGCCGCGTGTCCGCCGTGGCGGCGAACCTCGCCAGCAGGGATGGACGGGGGTGAGCCGCTTACTTGCTGCGAGGTGGGACGAGAGGCGAGGTGGGGAGTAGGGTTAGCGTCAAGCAGGGCACAAACACTGTTGGCTGCAACAAGTTGGGAGGCACGGACGGCTGCTTTGAACCACAGGCAGCAACATTTCGCCGGGCCAGACCAGGCACGCGACCCCTCTGGCCCCCCCATAAGAGCCTCAGTCTACTCACTGGGAGACGGCGGTAACCTTGCCGAGCATGACCGCGGTGTTGCCGTCCAGGAAAGCGATGCGGGACAGGCCCTCGCACGCCTTGAAGTGGTCCACCACCTGGAAAGGACGCACGGAGGCGGGGGTGGGGGATCAGCAGGGGTGGAGGCGAGGCGAGGGACGCACAGGGCTGGCAAGCGCGGCCTGCTGCCGGCCGGCTCGCCCGCGTGCTGCAGGCCCTCTCTGGGCGGGGAAATCCACCCGCGCCGTCCAGGCCAGCCCTGAAAGCCCAGTGCCCTGCCCGGCCGGCCCCGCCACATGCCATCCCCATGCCCGCGGCGCTCACCAGGGGCTGGCAGGGCTCGAACACGACCTCCGCCATCTCGTTGGCCTTGAGGGCGTGGGGGGCGTCCAGCTTCTTGCCACCAGTCTCCTTGCCGACCTTCCAGTTGATCTTGGTGATCTTGCAGGCCGAGCGGCCGCACCGCACGAAGCCGATGGGGCTGTAGCCAGCCTTGACCTCGCCGGGGATGTCCAGGGTCTGGATCTGGGCGGTGAAGTCCTTGCAGGGCTTGAGGGTCTGGTCAGACTTGAGGATCATCACGTCGCCGGTGCGGGGCATGTTGCCCTTGTCCAGGCCCTGGGGAGGCGGGTGTCCAGTGTAAGGGTAAGTACATGCGCATGGCAATGTGTGCGCGTGTGAAAGAAGGTACGGCGACCACGTGGGCACAGCAGGGCTTGCGCGCCAGGAGGCAGCAGCAGCCAGGTCGGTTCACCAGGGAGTGAGCAACAGCTCCACCGTTGCTGCCGCGCCGGCCCCTCCCGTCGTGGCACCCGCCGCCCCCCTGTGGCCGCTGCCCGCGCCGCACCTTGATGTTCATGCCGACGTTGTCGCCGGGGCCGGCCTTGTCCACGCGCTTGTGGTGCATCTCCACGGTGAACACCTTGCCCACGCAGGGGTTGGCGGTGGTGTGGGTGGGCAGGAAGATCACCTCATCACCGGGCTTCACGATGCCCTGCTCCACGCGGCCGGCCAGCACATCACCCACACCCTTGATCTTGTACGCGCCAGAGATGGGCACGCGCAGGGGGGCGTCGGTCTGGAGGGGGGACACAGGGGGAGGGGGGAGTGGCCGAGGAGGGTGTCAGAAAGCGAGTTGTGTGGTAAGATGGGGCCATCGCAGAGCTGGGTGCGTGGAACTGGTTAGTCAGGCCGTCACAGCTGCTGCGATGTGTCGAGGGCAACGCCTGCTTGACCGCTTCCCGCCCACACAAAAAACTCCCTCACAGGTGCAGACACCGGGTGCCCCATCACGCGCACAGGCACGCCTGTCCGTGCGCAGCGTCCCGCAATGCACGCATGCACACATCGGTGCGGGGCGCACCTTGCGCTCGGGCACGATGACCATGTCGTTGAGGGCGTCCAGCAGGGTGGTGACCTTGACGGTGCGGGCGTCGATGGTCTTCACCTCCACGCCGTCCCACCACTTCATGTTCTCGCTCTTCTTGATCAGGTTGTCGCCCATCCAGCCCGAGATGGGCACCACGGGGACGCTCTTCTCGATGAAGTCGGGCTGTGGTGAGGGGGGATTTCGGGCGGGAGGGAGGCATGACAAACATATTAAATTAAGTGCATGGACAGTGTGTGTGGCTACTTTGTAGCAGCATGCTTGAGCACCCTCTGGTGTCAGCAGCTGCCGGCATGCGCAATGCTTTGTCCACCTGAGCCTGTGAGGGCGGCTGGCCAGCTGCCCGGTCGCATCGAATATCCCCCTCCAGATCACCCTGACAGCGGCCCTCTGACCGCGCGGCGGCGCCATCGTCAAGCCGGGCCCTGCTGCAGGGTCCCGCACCCCGCAACCGCCCACCCCGCACCTTCCAGCCGACGCGCGCGAGCATGTGCTTCATCTCGTCGCGGATCTCCTTGTAGCGCTCCTCCTTGTAGCCGGCCGTGTCGCTGTCCATCTTGTTCACGCCGATGATGAGCTGGCGCACGCCCAGCAGGTTGATCAGGCGCGCGTGCTGGCGGGTCTGGCCCTGGATCTCACCGGCCTTGTGGTCACCCTGGGGGGTTTCGGAAAAAAGGGGCGCAAGCCCGTTAGCATCCTGCGTGGCGCGCCTGCAGCTGCAGCGTCTACAATAACACCGCTTGTCCCGAAAGCCGCTGTGTTGATCAGCGTCTGACCTCAGACTGCAGAGAAGCGCCCGTGCCCGCGACCGGGCAGAGCGGGCCCAAACCCCATCGGTGAGTGCGCACCTTCTGGATGGCGGTGGTGAAGTTACCGTCGGCGGGCACCATCAGCAGGCACACGTCGGCCTGGGCGGCACCAGAAATCATGTTCTTGATGAAGTCCCTGTGGCCTGTTGAGAAGCGAGCGTGCGGGAGAGCGAGCAGCACAGAGGTGGGTGGTGGCGCAACCACCAGCAGATCGCGCCAGATCACCCGCTGTGCAGGTACAACACAACAACTGTTGCTGTTAATTGCCGCGCATGCAGCGAGCTGCAATCCTACGAGCAGCCCCATACAAGATTGGATATGTGACATCATGTCACCATGACCACATTGCCAAGCAGCTGTGCAGCATGGTGCGCCACGCCTCGCAGCGCACCGGGGGCGTCGATGATGGTGTAGTGCCACTTCTCGGTGAAGAACTCCTTGGTGGTGCAGGCGATCGTCACACCGCGCTCGCGCTCCTCCTTCTGGCGATCCATGTAGAAGGCGAAGGCGAAGGACTGCTTGCCCAGGGCAGCGGCCTCCTCCTTGAGCTTCTCCAGCTCACGCTCAGGGATACCGCCGAGCTCAAAGAGCAGGCGGCCGGTCGTCGTCGACTTGCCAGAGTCGACATGACCGCAGATAACGATGGAAAGATGCTGCTTGCCCTCGGCCATGGTGCCTGGGGGTCAGAAAGACGCGAGGCCACGGGGATCAGAGGCGGACCTGTTGCAGCGATCTGCGGGTTAGCCTACCGCCCTAGGGGCCGCTTGGCCACGCATGGATGGCTACATATCGTGCTGATATAAGACCAGCACCGGAGGGCACCATGCGGAGCCCCTGACGCCGTGTGAGGCAGCACCAAACCGAGCGGCTGTGCATGGCGGCCTCGCCTTTCTGGAGCGCTGCAACGCAATGCCGCGGCCACAGTTCATGCTCAGGACCTCCCTACGTTCCCTCCCACGCCAGCACGCCTGTTGAGGGGCTGCGGAGGTGCAGCACGAAGGCGCACCTTCTGTTCCGGTCTTGGTGGCTGCGTGTGTAGCAACAGGCGACGGAGGCCTGTGCAAAGTCCCGTTGGAAAGGAGGAGGCACACCCGCGTTGTTGTTTTCGTGCTGCAAGCACACGTTCTGGCGACCCCTCAGCTCCTGCGGGAACAAAATGCCTGACGAGTCTAGACGACGCCCTCTTGACAGCCCCAAGTGGTTGACGTATCCGGAGTCCTTTCGAAGGTGAGCGGGGCTTGCGCGGAGAGACTGCACCTGTGCGCGCAGCCTCCGGGTCGTGGCACAGCGCTCCCCGCTGTGGCGTCTGTTAAGCCTGACATGTTTTTCAGGGCGTTTCTTCGATATCCAGAGCCCTCAGCTGGCAGCCAGTGCCGCATCAGCCAACGGAGGCCAGGCAGTGATCGGTGCCGCCTGGCCCTCAAGGCCTTCCAGTCGTGCTTGGCAGTATGCAAGAGGGTTATCAGTTTCGCCGAGTGCAGCGCTGACGAGCTGCGCAGCGGCTCGGCCGCCGCTGCAGGCTTGTACTGTGAGCAGCTGGGCGGCGGCGCTGCTTGCTGCAGCAACCACAGCCGCAGCACGGCGGACTGGTGTGAAGTCGCAGCACAATGATTGCTTTGGCGTCAGGTGCACGGCATCACCCGGCAGCCTGCCCAGCTGGCATACATCAGGCCGGCTGTGACGGAGAGCAGTGATCGCACCAGTCCCAGCATGGGGCAGACAGCAATGCTCGTGGAGCGATAGCATTCCAGGCAGACAATGCATAGCAACCCGTAGTTGCAGGAAGGAATGACATGTGCCGACAGCAAGGACTCCAGTGCGCAGAGCTGTGGCAGTTGTGGCCCTAGCAGCAGCCCACCGTCCATGATCTTTTCTGCCGTGCAAGAATTTGCAACACCCCTTTGCATGTGGACGCGTTCCGATCCGCAGGACCTTGAGCAGCAGCGGGGCACAGCGGCAGTCATGGTGCTTAAGACGACGCTGTGCCGCTTCAGCGGCCTGCGGATCTACCCCGGCCGCGGCATTCTGTTCATCCGGGTGGACAACCAGCAGGTGCGCGCCTGGCTGGTGTGGACTGCGCGACTTGACAGAGTTTCTTAGCGTCCGCTGCACACAGCTCTCAACGCGCAGCGCTGCACGCGGCAGTGGCAGCAGCGCAGCCTGCACGGCCCAACGGTCTGCTGCAGCAGCCGTCGCGTCGGACCGCGCTCACCGCGTTGCCGTGTGGGCCCCACCTCGCCCGCTGTGTGAAATTTGCAGTACCTCTTCCTGAACAAGAAGACGAAGAGCCTGTACCACAACAGGCTGCGCCCCGCCAAGCTGGCGTGGACCACCACGTACAGGTGCGCCGTCATGGGGCGGCCAGGGGTGGTTTGGGCTGCCCGCACTGCACGAGATTGCGGGAAGCGCCGCGGCGTTGCAGGACACGCAGCTGGGGTGGCAGCTCGCAGGCTCCATGTGCGTGATGGTGCTTTTGCACCTGGCAAGCTGCAGCTGTGGGTGCATCTCTCTTCTTGTGCTACGCCTGCTGCACCGCTGGCCTCAGATTTTGCCTTGTGTGTACTTGCACAACCCAACCCTAAACAGGAAGCAGCACAAGAAGGACCAGGTGTCCGAGGTCTCTCGCAAGAAGCGCCGCACCGCCAACAAGGCCACCGCGCGTGCGCTCACCGGCGCGTCCCTCGAGGTCATCAACAAGCGCCGCGCGGAGAAGCCCGAGGTGCGCCAGGCCAGCCGCGAGGCGGCCATCCGCGAGATCAAGGAGCGCGCCAAGAAGGCCAAGGCTGAGAAGGCCAAGGCGCAGAAGGCGCCCGCCTCCAAGCAGCAGGCGCCGGCCGCCAAGAACATCGGCCGTGGCAAGCGCTGAAGCGGCGGCGCTCGCCGCTGAGCGGTCGGTAGCGGCAGCGGCGCGACCAGCAGCGGCGGCTACGCCTGCGGCGGCCGTGCACCCCCTGTAACGTTTGTTGCTCGCATCATGGCACATATCAAAACGAGCTTTCTTAGTCCAGTGGTTTCTTTGGTTGCTGATTTGAACAATCAATAAAACAGCCAGGGCCACAACTCCTCTGCACACTGTTGAACTGGATGACTAGAGCATGTGGCGAGACAAATAGTGAGTCAAACGAGCACGGGACGCTATGGTGTCTTGGCTCTCACTAAGATGTGCGGTGAGTTGGTTGGCGCCAGCAACGCCCAACACTGCTGTCAGCTGGTGTCACCAGCCACCTTTGACAAATCCATTCAGGGACAGGAATGGCATGCAGATCTGGGGTGGGGATCCTTGGCAACTTGTTACACAGTGGCTGCATCAGGCATGAACGCGTCCCGCAGCCGCACACAGAGCTTCACGCACGCCCCCTTCAGCGCCGGGCCCCCTGGCCCGATGCACAGCCCAGGATCTGACGCAATGTGCTGCAGGGCCGCGGCCAGCTGGCCCACAGTGCTGCAGATGCCTTCGGCCAGCAGAGGGAACGCATCTTGCAGCTCTGGCAACGCCGCGTGCGCCGTTAGCGCTGCATCCACTGCTTCGGCCAGGAGCGGCGGCAGCAGGCCAAGGGCAGGCGGAGGGGCTGTGGCAGCCGACAGGGCGGGCGCCCAAGCGGGCAGCTGCTCTGTGCAGAGCACCTGAGGCGGTGTGAAGATAGCAGAGGCGCTGGCCGTGTGAGCGGCGCCCATCGATTCCACGGCCGCAAACAAAGAGACATGAACCAACACGAGCGATTTCACTGGCTGCAGGGTGCATCTCGCCCACCGCAGGGGCTGGCGTACTTCACGCCTCCATGCCAGTCCAAGCCTCAGCTCACCCCTATCAGCTCCAGCAGCTCCTGGGACGACTCGAAAAGTGCCGCCTCACAGGCCATCATCTCATCACAGAGCGCACTAGGCGCGCCACCGCCCAACCCGCCGCCCCAGCCGCCACCCTCATCGCGCAGCTCGCCCGCCCGTGGCGCCGCCAGCGCGCTGCACAGGCGCCGCAGGTGCACGAAGCAGCCGCGCAGCAGCGCCGCACCTGTAGGTGGCAGCGACGCGAGTGCGTGCAGCGCGCAGCGCGCCTGCGCCGGCCCGGCAGCTGCCTGCCGCTGATGATCCTGGGCTGGCTGGCTGGTGGCAGGGGTGATGGGAATGGCCGCCTCCAGCAGTTGGCCTACCAGCTTTTCGACCACGGACAGCGCCGTGCCCCTGACGTCGCCTGTGCCTGGATCGCCTCCCTGCACCCCGAGGTCAAGAGACTGCAGCCTGTCTGTTGCTGCCGCGGCAGAGCGCTTTGCCGCACTGCCGGCTGTGCTGTCTCTGAAGGTTGGCGTGGAGCAGGACAGGCAAGCGGCAAGCGCGGCTGCACTCTCACGCAGGTACGCCTGGCTCAGGCTAGACGTAGGTGTGTGCAGCAGGGTACCAGACACAAAATCTGCCACCTCTGCCGCCGCACTGGCCGCGCCAGGCTTGCCCACAGGGCCGCGAAGCGCCGCCGCGCCGCCGCTGTCCAGGCGCAGCACCCGCACCATGCGTACGTTGGCGAGCAGCATGCCGGACAGTGCTTGTGCCTTGCCGCTCAACACGTCGCGAGCCACTTGGCTCGTCACATGCTCAGCGGCAGTGGCCACCTGCCGCGCCAGGGGCGCCAGGTCAAGCGCTGCCTCATTGCCATCATCCGGCTGCGTCCCAGGGCGGCCGTTTGAGAGTGGTGGCAGCCAGTGCTGCGGCAGGCTGTGCTGTGGAGCGCCAGAATTTCTTGCCGCACTATTCCCAATTGGTTGCTGCTGCTGCTGGTATGATGCGAGCCTTGCAGCTGCTTGCCTCAGCTCCACCGCCGTCGCCTGCTGCTGCTGCAACTCAGCCTCAACCCTGGCAACTTTACACCGCAGGTGCTGCAGCTCCTGGATCTGCCTACGTTTCTGCTGCACGATGGCTATAGCCAGGGCCTCACGGAGAGGATCGTGATCTGACGCGCGCGAAAGGCGGGTAACAGCGGGTGGAAGCGAGCTCATGGTTCGTGTGTAGATGCCCGTGCATATTTGACATATTATACAGCTGATCAGATGACGGTCGCTGCAAGAGGCTTATGTGTGTATATATGATACAGCCGCGCCGGCCTGCGTGGCACAGGCAGTGGCCGGCCGCCATCCCAGTGCCCAGTAATCACAGTGCCTTGCTAGTTGTTACGCATGCATGTACAGCTCAGACTAACGCCAGCCAGGATCAGGCCGAGATCAACATGCACATCACAAAGTAGCCGCCGCCAGATCCACACACACCGAATGCGCAGATACACGTACAGGCTGTCACCATTTTCCTGGCCGCGGGCCCATCAGCGCGACAATCGCTGCTCCGCCCAGTGCGCCGCCAAGGTGCGACCTGAGCGTGTGTGGTGGGGGCAAGCGGCTTCAAGCGGGACATCACGCACAGGAACTCGATCACTGCATGGAATTCCCGTCTTTTTCCTTTGCATGCACCCAGCACGAATGCTGCCAGCTCCGATACCTGCACAACCCACAATGCACATGGACCCACCAGCCATCGACACTGTGCGAGCCAATCTGGATGAGGGCGTTGATGCCAACCACTTGCGCAAACCAGCTCAAGTCACTGCCGCTCAGGTGAAAGGTGTGACGGTTCAGCCAGCGGAACGCGACTGCGCAGAGCACAAGGGCGGCGAATGCATGGGGGCTTGGGAACAAAGAGGATGGTGTTGAGCAATGTGGTGATGACCCGGCTTTGCCATGCAATGCTGCAAGCAGCTCTATGAGCAGCTCGCAAGAGACAACATATGCGTACGTGGTCTGCCTCTCACCATAGGCGCCAAAAAGCCCCGAAATTGACGAGCTCGCGCCCACCGCCATGCTGAACCCGGTCGAGCCCATCCACCACGAAAGCGCGTTGCCCGTCACAGCGGACGCGGCGTACACGGCGGCGAAGCGCGTGCGCCCCAGGATTGCCTCGACCGAGGGCCCGATCATGTACAGGGACAGCGTGTTGATGGCCAGGTGGAAGAGGTTGGCGTGCACCAGGGCGGGCGTCAGCAGCCGCCACACCTCGCCCTGGCTGACCAGGTGGTTCACCTGTGAGCGAGTGTGGCCAAAGGTTGGCAGGAGGTGAGACTCTGTCGGGCTGGTGTCTTCTCAACAAGCTTGAAATGTGGGCGGGCGGGCAGGCCGCCGCCCTCGTGAGCATGCACGGGCCGGGGTTAACCAGGCACAGGCCAGCACGCAGGCTGCCATCAACACAGAGCCCCATGGAGGGCAGGGTCTACAGTCCCCACAGGCAGCTGGCAGCAGGCAGCGGCACCAGGCAGCAGGGCGGCTGGGCTGGGCACGAGGCACCCTGGGACCTACTCTCGCGAGCTTGAGGACCAGCCCTGGATACGCCTGCTGCAGCAGGTACATCCCGCCATTCAGCGCCATGATGAGCTCTGACACCCGCCTGTCCGGGCTAAAGAAGCCCCACCTATTGCTGCGCCAGTTGCGGTCCATCCGCTGCCAGTTTGGGGTCAAGCTAGCGAGCGCCATGCCCGCGGGCGCAGTGGCTGCGGCTGCGGCTGCAGCGGCGGCACCCAGGCCGAGGCCAAGAGGGCTGATGGCGCTTGGCGGCGGCGACGGGTGCGCGCAGCCGGGGCCTGACGCGGCGGTGCTGTTTCTGGCGCAGTTGCTGGGGCTGCCGGCACTGGCACCCCAGCCTGTACTGTAGTCGCCTCTTTTGGCAAGTCGTGCCTGTACCAAGGACAGCAGGCTGTACCTCAGGGCCAAGCCGCCGCAGCCGGCAGCAGCGAGCACCTCAGCACTGGGGGGTGCCATCCAAGAACGGGCGTGGACGTGGGCGCCTCCGCGGGAGATCCTGCACACGGGGAGAGCAAGATTTTGGCCGGTGGTTGCTCCATGAGGGAGCAGATTTCTGCAAGCCAGAAGCGCTAGCATCTCAAGCTGCCCCGAGGACATGGTGCAAACAACTCACAGCCCACCAACGCAGCTAGGCCCTCACGTGTCTCTTTGCTGCGCGCTCCTGGGACGCACCCGACATCGGACGTTGCCTCTTCTGGCAGACTCGCAGCCTTGGCTACTGAACTCCAAGCGCTCTGCAGGAAGCAGGTACAGGTGTATATGAGGTTGATAATGACTGCAAACCTCAGAATGGATCAAGATTGATTCAAAATCTGCAGGACACGCGATGTTGCAAGCGCTCAAAGCGACGTGGTGCGCCGCGGCGTGCTGCCTGCGGCCTGGTCCTGCTGAGGCCTGCTCACCTGGCCCCCTCTATTGCGTAACAGCAGTGTGCCAGCAATGTTGCTCAGGCTGCGCTTCATGGTACTGGAACGTGCGTGGTGCTCTGCTGGATTGCTGGCCGGCCAAGATTCCTAACTGCGAGCGGCGACACGCCCCGGCGTCCGTGCAGGTCGCAGTGTTGAGAGCAGCCGCACAGCAGCCCGTGCCTAGGCGCGGCGGGTGCGCATGCTTGCTGTGAGCCTCATTGGAGCTGGCGGTGAAATTATGAGCTGTGCTGCAAGAAGAATGTTGGCAAGATCAGTCTGATCTTTGGTGAAAATGCTACCGTAGTCGATGGCGCGTACGATATGTTACATGATTGATTGCACACTCGTATGGTAATAATAACCGGTATCTCCTCCGCACTCGCAGCCCTCTTCTTTGGGTCAACTGGCCGCAGGCATCACCACACGCGTAGCCCCTGTTGCGAGCGCGTTCAAGTTGCAATAGCACCAACCAAATAATTACGCGCCCCTGCTGCGTGACGATCACCAGGGGCCTCCACCAGTGCTCGCCGCCGCCACTGCCGCCGCCCGCCGCTGCTGCTGCCGCTCCTGCCGCTCCTGCGCCAGTCGGCCGCCGTTGTATTCACGATGAAGGTAGGGTTTGGAGGAAAGGCTGGACAGAAGAAGAAGAGCAAGAAGAAGGGCGGCAAGGCAAAGAAAAGCAAGGGTGGTGACGCGGCCATGAAGGACGTCGCAACTGAGCAGCATGTGGAGGCGGCTCAGGCCGTGCAGCCGACAGCAAAGGACAAGCAGCGCAATCGCATGGCACTCAAGCAGCAGCTGAAGGTCAAGGTGGCCGGCTTGAAGTCGCACAGGTGCATGGGGCGCAGAACGACCGCGGGCGTGGGTTGTCTTCAGCCACTGCAGAGCGCAGCGCAGGCAGACACCAGCATCAGTCCCACGGTCCAAAACATGGTCGGCCAGCATATGATTTGTTGTAACCGCAGCCCTGCTGACGTCCTGCTGACAAGCGTCCGCCATCCGAGAGAGTGGTCAGTGGCTACCCCACCCTCGCCATCACATCATCTAGTGCGTGCCACACCTTCCCCCCCCCCCCCAGGCAGAAGCTCACGAAGCTCGCAGCAAACAAGGACGCACGCCGGTCGCTCAACAAGGAGATGCGCTCTCTTGTCAAGGAGCAGCTGGGCATCTCCAACAAGGGGCGCAGCAGCGAGGCCAGCAAGGCAGGGGGCAGTGGTGAGCAGCCGGCTGCTGGCGGGGGTGGGGGCGGCGATACCATGGCCGAGTAGAGGAGGTGCTCCAGCGCCTTTGTCGCTCATGAGGAAATCGGAAGGATGGCACGCACATGTGCCTTGTCATCAAACACGATTGCGTTGCTTGATGCAACTGGTTTGAACGGTGTTGACTCGTAACATGTTTGACCACCGCTTGCATGGGCACTGGCAAGCCACATGAAGTGCCCATTTTGCTCATAATTTGTAAGTTACCAAGATTTCGGGCGTACAAAGGAAGGGGTTGACACATGCGGGGGCTGAATGGGCTGCGGCAGGCGCCCCCACCCCGTGGCGCCAGCGGCGAGTGCACCGTGTCGGCGCGGCTGGGCGTGCAGCCAGGACAGGAGCATATGGTGGTTTCAAGCATACTTGAGGGCCAGTATCGCGTTGCGGGCCAGCAGCACGTCGAGTCCACACGCGGGGCACCAGCATGAGCAAGCGTCCTGGGGACGGTGTTTGCCACGGTGTCGTGAGCCACCCGTCTCAAATGGTTTGTTCGGCGCTCGCTTTACAAGACTTCTAGCTCAAATCACCGTTTGCCATCTCGACAAGTTGTCCAAGTGCAGAAACAGCAAGCCCATCATCAGCAGCCCAGGAGGGCGCCCTCCTAGATGGTGGGAGGTGGATAATGAAAGTTGGCCGCGCGCCTCCCGGACTCAGCGTTCGGTGGCAGCACGGGTGCCGATGCTGCAGCAGACGCGCGCTGTGCAGGCAGTCGCGGCACCATGCTGTGGTTGATCATTGTTACGTCGAGGACTAGGACTATGCTGCGGGCACTGGCTGGGGCAGCCGCTGCTGGCGGCGCACCAGCTGCTCGCCGGAACTGCGTGTGACCCGGCGCGTCCCAATGATGGGTGCTCATGACCTACGCGCTACCCCTGTTGCAGGGCGGGCACTCCGAGGGGACCAAAAGCTAGCCTTTTGAGGAGTGGTGGCAGCAGAGGGGCTGCCATGGGGCCGGGCGCGAGCTCGGCAGAGCGGCGGCACCTGGGCCAGGAGGTGGCGGAGCTGGTCCTCAAGAGCGCGCCGCTGCTGCTCGTCGCCCTGCTGCTGGCGGTGCTGCCCTTCTCTGCAGCACAGGTGATTTTTTGAGTAGTTTACTGAAGGCACTTGATGCTGCGGAGTGTGTCCCGCGTGCTGTTGGTGTTGCAGGCGCTTTGTTTGCACGCGGGGCCTAGTAAGGGAATGGGCAGCTTCGCGTGCGGGTGACGCTCGTCGAATCAGCGACCACACGATATGTATGAAGGCCCACTTGATGCTCACCCGATTTGCCAATGCATTACCGGCGCCGCATGTGCCCTTGACATCCTCATGCACCCACTTGCACCGTGCAGGACGCCTGCATGTTGGGGCCCTGGCAGGCGGGCGGTGGTGTGCCAGCGTACGCGACCCGCAGCGTCCAGGTGGCCAGCTGGGGCGACTTGCAGCAGTACGTGGACCAGGCGGTTGGGCCCACTGTGCTGGTGGTGCGGGCCTTGAAGCAGCCGCTGTCCGCCGCCAGGACTCTAGTAGTGTCCAAGCCAGACATTGTCATCACAACGGCCACAAGCTACGACCCCACGGGTGCAACCTTTGCTGGGCCCAGTATCAGGGTGAAGTGTGGCGCGGCGAAGACGGCTGTGGCTATCAAGTGAGTTGAGCAAGCTGAGCGGCAGCATTGCAGTTCGGATTGCAAGCTTCCATGCTGCGCCGGGCGCGCACCTGTTGGGAGTTGGCTGGCCATGCATGACAGCAATTAGTGCATGCTGTTCATGAAGCTCAGTGCCGAGACCACGTGCAGCAGGATACCCGCGCTGTGCCTCCTCTAATTGTTTCTGCTAGCTTCTTAACTCCTGCGTGCCTATGCACCCTGTCCACGTCACAACCAGGGCGTCGGGGGTCGTGCTGCAAGGCTTCAACATCACCGGCTGCACCACTAGCGCAGTCAGTGTCGCCTCTCCAGTGGCTGCGCGCGCGGTGGTGCTCTCAGATCTTGATCTGGTTGCCAACGAAGGCATGACCGGCGCCGGCATCTATGCAACGCGCGGGGCGCTTGTTCTGCGCCGCTGTGCTTTGATAGAGAATTCCGCGCGAGACGCCGGCGGCGGTGTGTACGCGGCGGGCACGGCGGTCTGGGTGGACACCTGCGACATGCAACGCAACGGCGCAGCCGCAGGCGGCGCGGTGGCGGTCAACGGCGGCCGCCTGCTTGTCAGCGGCAGCCATCTATTTGACAACATCGCAGACGGCCTGGGTGGCGGCCTGATGGTGCGTGGCGCGACGCTGCCAGCCGGCGGCTGCTGGGGCGCGCCGTCGATTGGTGTGCGCGTGATGTCGTCAAACATCAGCGGCAATGCGGCCGACAACGGCGGCGGCATTGGTGTGCTGCAGTCTGCGCTGGTCGCGCAGGATGTGCAGATGTGGAACAACGGCGCGCTGAACCAGGGCGGCGCCATCGCAGCCGCCGGCGCGGGCGCGGTCAACCTGACCGCGGTGGTGATGGACAGCAACCGCGCCCGCAACGGCGGCGGCCTGCACCTGTCCGACGCCGGCCGCCTGATTTTCGAGGGCGTCACAGCCCACAACAACACCGCGACTGCAGCGGGTGGTGTGCTGTACGTCAACGGCTCGGGCAGCTCTGTCCTGCTCAGCAACAGTCTGTTTGACTACAACTGGGCCAAGCTGCTCGGCGGCGTCGCGACCATCAAGGACGGCAACACAGTTAACATCTGGCGATCCAATTTCACGCGCAACGAGGCAGAGATGGCGGCGGGCGTGCTGTACGGCCGCTACATCAACGTCACGGTGGAGCAGTCGCGCTTCGCCCTCAATTGGGCCGGCCGCGACGGCGGCGCGCTCTACTGCGCCGGCTTCTGCGACTGGCAGATCCGCGCCAGCAACTTCTTCAACAACACCTGCCCCCAAAACGGCGGCGCGATCTTTGGCTGGAACATGGCCGCGAACGTGACGGCCAGCAGCTTCGACATCAACGCGGCAAACGCGCTCGGCGGCGCGATCTCCATGGCCAACAGCACCATCGTGATTGAGGGCTGCAAGCTCTACGGCAACCAGGCCACCGGCACCGACGCCGCGGGCGGCGCGATCTACAGCCAGTTCAGCACCTGGTCGGTTCTCAACTGCGACCTGCAGCAGAACCTGGCGCCCTGGGGCGGCGGCGTGTATTTGGTCAACAGCACGCTGTCTGTGCTGGACACCCTCATCGCCAACAACAGCGCGTTCAGCTCGGGCGCCGGCGTGCACGTGCTGAATTCAGAGGCGGTGCTCACGACGACAGTGATGCACGACAACCTGGCGCGGCTGCACGCGGGCAGCCTGTACTGCCAGGCGAGCGACTGCACCGTGGAGGAGGGCAACTTTTTCAACGAGAGCTCCAAGGGCGGCGCCGGCAGCGTGTTTGCCACCAGTGGCAACCTCACGCTCATGTTCACCAACATCACGGGCGGCTTCGCCGGCAGCAGCGAGGGCGGCGGCGGCGTGCTGCTGCGCGCCGCCAAGCTGCGCATGCGCGGCTGCCGCATCGCCGAGAACAGCGCGCTCGACGGGCCGGGCGGCGGGCTGCAGCTCGACAACGTGAAGGAGGCGTTTGTGGACAGCAGCTCCTTTGAGGCAAACAAGGCGGCGCAGGGCGGCGCGATCGCCGCGATCGCGAGCGTCCTCGCGCTGCGCCGCTCCAGCGTGCGCGCCAACGAGGCGAGCGTCGGCGGCGGCGTCGCGCTGCTCGGCGGCAGCCGCGCGCTGCTCAACTCGACGGACGTCGCCGGCAACCGCGCGGCCGTCGGCGGCGGCGCGGCGTCGGACAACTCGACGTTTGCGATGACGCAGGGCAGCGTGGCCGGCAACGACGCGCGGTGGCTGCTCAACACGGGGCGGACCTACACCTTCGGCGGCCAGCCCACCCTGGCGGGCCTCGGCGGCGGCGTCTTCTCCCGCGGCGGGGCGCTCGAGATCACCTCGGCGGACGTGGCGCACAACAGGGCCGAGGCGCACGGCGGCGGCGCGTACGCGGACAACGCACGGCTCGCAGCCACCAACGCGCACTTTGTCAACAACACCGCCGGCGGTGAGGGCGGCGCCGTCAAGCTCGCCAACGCGCAGCCGCGCAGCCGGGTCGAGGCGGGCGCGTTCCACAACAACACGGCGGCGGCCGGCGGCGCGCTGGCGGTGGTCACCCTCAGCATCGGGACGGACCTGGAGCTCACCGCCTGCCTGTTCAAGAACAACACGGCGGCGCAGCTGGGCGGCGGCGCGGTGCGCGCCGCGGGGCCGATGGCGCTGCTGATCCAGGGCGGCGAGATGGCCGCGAACCGCGCACGCGGCGGCGGCGGCGCCGTCCTGGCGGAGGGCGCCAAGAGCGTGCGCGTGCGCGGCGCGCGGCTGACCGGCAACCGCGCTGGCGGCGTCGGCGGCGCGCTCGCGGCCGATGACTGCGGGGACGTGCTGCTCGAGGACACCGCCATTGAGAGCAACGCCGCGCTGTCCGGCGGCGGCGCGGCGCTGGTCGAGGGCCACAGCAGCGTCGCCGTGCGCAACTGCACCGTGCGCGGCAACGCGGCGACGGGGCAGACGGCGGGGCCGGTGGTGGACTGCAGCGTGGGGGGGACGGGCGGCGGGCTGTGCATCGACGCGGACTGCCCGGTGCTCCTCAACTCCTCGGTCATCTCCAACAATGTGGCCGAGAACGGAGGTGGGCCGCGGGCTGCTGGCTTGTTTTGTGGTGTCAGTCAGGGCTGGAGCCGCCCTTGCCCCAGAGGGTGCGTAGCGCTTGTCGGCGGCCCAACAGGACGTACTGAGTCTGGGCGGGCCCACCCAAGGCCGGCAGTGTCAGAAGAGCGCAGCGGCGCTGAGCATGCAGGGTGCAGTGGGTGGGCCAGCGCCCGCTGCTCTCGCTGCCCAACTCTCTTACCTAACCTTCCACCCCCTCATTCCCCGTCTTCACACCCTCAGGTGCGCTTGCCTTGAGCCTCTGCAGCGACCTGAAGCTCTGCACCCTCTCCATGGGGCGCATGACCTTCTCGAACAACACAGCCCTGCGCGGCGGCGGCGGCGCTGTGTTCCTCGGCTCCCCTCTGGAGCCGTCGCAGCTCGTCTGCAACGCGAGCGCCGACGCCGTGTTCCAGGCTTCGTCCGCTGAAGCTGGCAGCGTCAGCTCCGTCGCCAGCAACCTGCGGCTGGAGTCGATGGACGTGGACAGCCGCATCATGGCGGCCGCCGCGGCCGCGGCCGCCGCCAACGGCCTCGGCCACGGCCGCGCGT